AACTACTTTTAAAATCTTCATTGGCAAATAAAAAAAAACTTTAGAAGGCTTATTAATTCAAAAAAATTAGTAGCATCTTTTTTTTTGTAGGTTAAAAATATAGACAAAATGGGTCCTAATAAGGGTATCACAAGTTTAGTCTTTGCCATACTGATATACACCACCTTCATAGTTAAAGACTATACCCAAAAATATTTTGAACAAATTTACAAATTTGCAAAAAGGTAATGGTAACCTTACAAATTGGTATATATATTTGAGATTTATATAACATTGCACAAGTAAAAATATTACTATAAATAAAATTCTGCATATTCTAAAATCAAATAGTCTAGCACCAAAGATTCCTAAAGATCTCCATCATTTGAGCAAAAAAGCTATTACTGTTTGTAAGTACTTGAAACATAATCGTAAAGACAAAAACTAAAAATTTTGATTGATTGTGATTGAATCCAGAGTTTACTATCTTGCAAAATACTACAAAACAGCAGGACAACTTGCCCCAAACTGGAAATATGAATCCTCTATAGCAAGTGCAATAGTCAGGATACATATTATTTCTCTGACAATCACTTCACTGACATTTTAGTTCATCAACAATTTATTTACTGACAAGTTGATTTCACTAACAATTAATTCACTGACAAGTTTATTTCACCAACAAGTTTTATTTATAAATTACGCTAACCTAATGAATGGTGCTATAATTCAAAACCTAATTTGTAGTAATGTAGTAATTATTTATTATAAAAGTAGTAATTGTAATAATACTTATTATATGTAGTAACCATTATTATATATAATAATAATTACTACATATAGTAATAATTATTACATATAGTAATAATTATTATATGTAGTAATTATTACTATATGTAGTAATCATTACTACATGTAGTAATTATTACTACATGTAGTAATTATTACTACATGTAATAATTATTACTACATGTAATAATTATTACTACATGTAATACGTAATTATTAATATATATAATAATTATTAATATATGTAATAATTAGTAATATATAATATAATTATAAAAATTAAAAATTAAATACTATTTCTATTTTAGCATCTAATGATAGGATTTTTATGATTTTTGATTTGTTAGAATCCTCTTAATGAGAGAATCATTTGGAAGTTAAATCATCCAAATAGGTCTAGTATATTAAAAGTTATTC